AGAAAGAGACCAGCTACAGCCGCCCTCCAAGCAAATACCAAAAAAAAAAAAAAAAAAAAAAAAAAAATTGGTGCCCACGAATCACAACTAGTTAGTCCCCAGGAACGCAAATACATGGGCCCCTGGAACTTTCTTTTGCACCATTACCAATGTCCAAGTTCTTCCCAAGTCCCCACAGAAAGTGGGGCTCTGGGAAACACACGCACCACTTGGTTTGTACAGACTCCAGTTCTCCCACCCCAGGCTACCAGGCATTAGCAGATGCCCCTTTGGCCACACTGGTACATAGTTACTCAAAGCAAAAGAGAAGCCTAGAGGCAAGTAGCCTGGACAGCCCTTCAGCGGTACAATAGTTGCCTTCTGTCCCTGACAAAGGGAAGGTGACAACCAAGCCTGTCCAACACACAGTGTCCCCCAGAAGTCTCTGCCGAGGGTGCCTCCCTTTGAGGCCTTCTCTTCCCAAAGCTGGAAGATTAACTGTTCAAAACCCTCCAGTGGGGAGGAAAGGGAGGTGGGGCACTTGGGTGTACAGCACTTGCTCAGCCTGTGTTTAGAAATTAAAGAAAAAACTCTTCTAAACGGGAGGGAGTGTGGAGGAGTGGTTGGCAAGGGGAAAGAGAAGGCTGTACACAACCTCCTTTCTTCGGGGTCGAAGATAATTCCTACCAGGAATACACAACTTGACAGGATGCGCTTCATCAAATGGAAAACAATGAGGGAAGCCGGAAGAGGAGCTCCTTGTCATATGGCGTAAGCCTGTACTTTCTAAACTGTGGTTCTTGCCCCACCGTTTTCTAAAGATTGGCTCCTCATCCCCCCTCCTCCACTCCCCCTCCCCCCAAATGGAAGACACCCTATGGCCACTCCCCCAGCTCTGGCTGGCTGAATGCCAGGGGCAAGGTGTATTTCAAAGGCAAAGCCTGGCCTCTCCAGGGCGGGCCTGGAGACCTCAGTCAGGGTGTCAGCTTGGCTCACATCAAAGGTGAGCCAGCTCCAAGATGCAACCACAAGTGATTTTTATGAAATGTGCCATGGCCTCTGCATCGCCTTTGATCTTAGGAGGGATTTACACACATTAATTAGGCCTCCCTACCACCCCTGTGAAGCAGGAACACATTCGATAGGCACCCAGGTAAACTGAGGTGCCACTGACTGGGCCGGGGGCCACCCAGGGAGCTAAGGCACCCAGGTCCAGCTCTTATCCCAGGGTTTCCATTCCCAAGCAGGCTATCAAGTCCTAAACCTCTTCCCTGGAGCTGGCCTGGCTGAGCCCAGTCAGTGGTGTCTAGAGATTGGCTCCAAGCTATATTCCCTAGCTTACAAAGGTCAAGTGGGCCAGATCTGCAACCACCCACCGAACACTCTGCAAAGATAAATTTCTCAAGTCAGAGTCTCATCTTCCACCGTCTCCTGCTCCCCAGAGCCCCGCCTGGCAGACAGCAGAGCTGGGCCATTTCTGGCTCTCCTCTACCACTACATATTACCAAGCACCTCATTAAGCCCTGGGTTCTGTGGACGAAAGACACACATGCCCTTCTCCCAGCAGTTCTAACAGAACGAACTGCAACCTTTTTAAAGGTTCTTTCCAACTTAGTTCTTCTGAGTTTCCCAGGACTACTTTGTATAATGAATGATGGAAACATTCAGTAAATAAACGAATGAATGATCTAAAAGCAAACTCATGAACAACCTAGTCTCAACGAGACTTGGAAAAAGAGCAGGCTAAGAGATCTAAGTTAAAAGAGTCAGATCGCAGACCAAGATGTCAGCCGTTCAGCTAGGCTGTTCCATGAAGAGGCCATCCCAGCAGCCAGTCAGTGCCCCAGCCTCAGAGCAGCAGATACAGTGCTCACAGAAGAGGCACCCTCAAGCATCCCAACTCTACAAAGTGAGACAGAGCTAGGAACGAACAGCAAATTCTTTTTCCTTGTGGGATGGGGAAGTGGGGGTGTCTTCATGCCTTGCAAAGGTCACAAGTCACAGCCACTTTGTCCTAAGGTCCAGGCAAGCCCCAAACTTGCTGCAGACAACTCTGTTTGGGGAAAGGTATATACAGCACCAGGTGGAGGTCTAGTCTAGGCCCTTCCAGAGGCTGCAGCCATCAGAAACAAGAGTTCCCAGTTCAACCTGCCAGGACCTCCGAAAGGCTCAACTCTCCCAGGTCTCAGCCCCTTCTCATCGCTTCCCCTGGAGGAGGGAGACTCCAAAAGGGATCCCCTCGGTTGGTTGTCTCGTTAAGATTTTAACAGTTGTCCACTGTAAAAACCAATTTCCTCTCTCACCTATGTAACCCAACACCAAACTCTTCAGGCTCAGGCTGGGAAAGAAGAGCTGAATCCCCAGGTCCAGTGCTTCCCCATACACCGGGTGGAGAGAAAAACATGTGACGGACAGCAAAGGCCCCTGAACTGGTCTTGCTTCAACACCCCTGGGTCACCATAACCAGCAACACTTGCCCTAGCCCAGTGCCCTTAGGCCAGCCCTCTGCTCTGCTGTTCCGACCACTCCTCTCCCAGGGGCTTTCCGGTTACCTTCCCCATGTTCTTACCTAGTGGTGCCTGAGTTTGGGTCCTTTTTGTTTGGTTTTAAGCAAGGCATTTGGGGTGAGTAACCCAGCTGCTGGGTTTCCGATTGGCAGGTTAATCACTTCCTATTGGCTGATCTGAGGAAGGTTGCTTCCCTCCTTGGAAATGGCACATTCCCGTCTTTTGTGGCTTCTCTGTTTACACACATTTTGCTACCTAATGTCAACACTTGCTAATGAATAAATATATCACTCCACTCCCTGAAAATGAGGTCCTGGCCTGCCAGAATGACTGCTTAAATCTTGCAAGCAGATTTACCCAGTATCTTTTCTGAAAACCCAAGAGCACGTGGCCCTTCTTTTCTATGGAGTCCGGACTTCAGAGGATCATCTACCACAGCTGTCGTCACCTCTAGGGCCACAGGGAGTTCTCTTTCTGTATAAGGTTAACTCCCCACCTTTGAAAGATGCAGAGGGAAAGTAAAAAAAAGAGAGAGAGAGAGAGAGGACTGTGGTGGACCCCTGGAGAAGTCACTTCTTGATTCTTTAAGCCACAAACTCAAGCAAGTTACAGCCATTAGAGTTTGCTAACGCCAGTTAAAGTTTGTTGCGAATACAGAGTGCCAGTTATCTTGTCATTAATAACCATTTTATCTGGTGTTTTGTAAATCGAAAGCAAAATATCACATATTCTGCAGGCCACCTATTAGACAGGCACCAGGCAAGCAGCAACGCCTTCCGGACTTGAGGGAACTGGTGGAGTATGCGGAGTATGGCTAGCTGGGGCTTCACTCACACATTCATTAAGTATTTAACTTATGACAATGTCCCCACAAAACTTTTAATGGGGACGGGGGGGGGGGGTGCGCATCAGCAAAAGCTCACAAAGTCAGAAGGTTCCAAGAGCTAAATAGAGCCCAGCCCTTTCCTTGGCAAAGCCAAGATGTCTCAAGCGTTGCATTTTTGTAAGCACCACATAACAGGCACAAAAACCAACGTTAAAACCTAGACTTTCAGCAAATGGTTCTGTAATTCTTCCACTCTCAGAAGGAAGTGGGGCTCGCCCCTGCTGTCACCCCCCATCTGTTTTGCTGACCCTGTCCCCTGGCACTGTCAGCTCTAAAGGGATGGGTCCGAGTGCTGCCAGCCAGGAGCCGAATGCAGACAACCACGACAGGCCTGGTGCCAGTCTCAAATGGGCTTCTGCCCTGGCCCCCCCGCCATCCAGGGACAAAGCAACAGGCAGGCAGAACTATGCGGGAAACTTTCATGGTCTCCCTACCAGGAATTCTGAGAACACCCCAGGAGAAAACTGACTTGCAGGGGACTGAACAGGGAGAGATCATCCCCTGTAAGCTGGCTGCCCTTCTTGAAGACTTCCCGCCTTACTACAAACCGAAGCTGCTGAACCTCATGCACTTAACCTACCCATAAGTCTTACAAAGCTTCAGAATGTTTCCATCGACCTGTCCTATTTGGCTCCCAAGGCATTCAGTGGATTAAAAGCCTCCATGTGTTAAAGCTGAACTAACTTCCGTCACACAGTTCAAATGCATAAAAAAGGAACAAATTATGAAACATATCTGGGGGGGGGGAGCTATCTTTATGGGGGGAGGGGAGAATCCAATCACAACAGGAAAAAAAAAATCTACCAAACCTGCAATAGAGGAAACTTTAACTTCCTCCAGCAAGCCAAGCACCACCCCAGCCCTAACCTAGACACAAAAACCTGGAATCTAAGAAAGGAAAAGACCTTTGAAAATCATCTACTCACCAGTTGGTTTGAGAAAATCCATTGGGTATCTGGAGTAAGGAGGAGGGGGGGACTCTGAAATTAAAAAAGTAAGAGAATATAAAGGCTGAGCCATGAGAAACAGAGATAGAAACTTGTGATAACTCAGGCATTCTTTTAGCCCAACTGTTTGTCTTAGCTGTGGGGGTTGGAGGCAGGGCCGCGAGGCGGTGATTGCCTTGATATTTAGCTGTCAGATAAACAAAAGAGACCGCCTGGCGCCAGCCTCCGCGCTCCGCTCCTCCACGTCTGCGGCCGCCGCCGCCGCCGCGCTCGGCGGGCCGGGGTGGAAACCACCGGCTGGGCCAGGGCTCCACCGGCGGGGCCGCGCACAGAGTAGTCCGCGGGGTGGGGGGCGTCCGGGGCTGCTTCGCGTCCTAGACTACAGATCCCGCTCCCCCAGTCATCCCTGCCTCTACGAGCACATTTCACCTCCGCCCTCGCTGCTCAGCTTGGCACCCACGCGCCCAACTAGGGAATCCTACCCAGCCCACCCGAGAAAAAGCACCCTAAGTGCGCTGCTGAACTTGTAAGACTTGAAGAGAGCAGGGTACGCCCCTCTACCCTGAGCACAAAGATGTGGAGAAAACAGAAGGCATGGAAAAGCTAGGAAAATATGGGCAGGAACCTGCTCAGGGTCCCAGCCATGAAGCCCAGGCCCCAGGGCAATTAAGAGGCAGGCGCAGGGAGCTGGGGTTCTTAGGACCACTAATTGTATGCTTTTCGGTGCGAAATGAAGGTAAAAGTAGAGGCCACCCAACTTCTCCAAGCTGTTTGTTCCTTCTCACCCTGAAGCTCGCACAGCTGAGAGTGGGTACCCAGTTCGGTCTCCATCCTACCACTGCCCCCAAACTCCAAAGCTGTGAGGCCAGGACAGTATCTGGGCCACTTGTGCCCCACGTGACTGTCCTTATTTACTAAAGGAGAGGAGACTTTCCAGCTTTTATAGTTAGTTTCTCCCAGCCTTCCTTGGCGGGCTTGGACCGAATCCAACTCGGCCACACACCTCAACGCCTTTCCGGGTGCGGGGGACGCGTGATCCCCACTTCGCTCTGTATTCCCTTGCTGACCCGGAAATAAGTGTCTCATTTTTCTGCAGCATGTCCGTTCACTCTAAAAAGCATAACCAGTATTCATGAGACCTCCTCTGGAGAGTGGAGGGGGGATGCGATAGAATATTGAAAGGGAACCCCAAGGAACGTCCAAGTTCCCCCGGCCCCTTCCCTAATTTAGTTCCCTCCTCTCTTCCAAAAAGGGGGCGGGGGGGATGCACACACACCCTCGAGCATTCTACCAGCACTTGTGCGCCAAAGGGAACGGAAGGTGGACACAGAACAACTTCTTACCTAGTTCGCAGAGTCGACTAAGGTGATGGGGGTTGCAGCACACAAGCTCGGGGTTGATCTTCCCGTAAGATTCACAGCAACACAGCCTCTTGACTTCCGAGGAATGCCTGAGATCCGGCCACCTGAACACTTTGCACAGCAGGAGGGGGAGCGAGTAGGTCGAGGGCGGCTGCGCGGGCTGCGCGCTGGCGGACGCCCCCGGGCCCAGCCTGCAGTCCAGGCGGCCGGGCAGCAGGAGGCACGCGGTGCGCGTACCGCCACGGGACTCCACGGCCTGGAGCAGCAGCTCCAACTGCCGCTCCTTGAGTTTCTTGAGCACCGAGTGCGTGAGCGCCTTCAGATCCGCCTCGGCGCCCCCGGCCGCCCCTGCACCCGAGGCTGGGGGATGGGGATGGTGGTGACCTTTGGCACCTCGGACCGCCTTGCCCAGGCAGCAGCCAGCCCTGCCCGCGCCGCCGCCACCAGCCCCATAAGCCCGGCCGGCCGTCGCCCCTTCTCCCCGCAGTTCGCCTCCTCCTCCGCCGCCGCCGCCACCCCCCACGCCCTCCTCCTCGTCCTCGCCGCCGGGCGCACGGCTCCTCCAGAGACGCCGGACGAGCGTAGATCGTTTGGTCCTGAACATGCGGGGCGAGGAGGCGAGGAGAAAAGTCGTTTGCCGGCTAAGGAGCGAACATGACCTCCGCACACCATGAAGAAGTCGGGCGCCGAGTTGGGGCAGCAGGCGCAGGCGACAGCAGCAACAGCAGGGGCCCGGGCAAGAGCGGCGGCGGCCCGAGGGGCGCTCCGTGGCATGCGCCAGTCTCCCGGAGGCCGGGGCGCGCG